CCAAAACATGACCAGGACACCATCACAACATGACCGGGACACCATCACAACATGACCGGGACACCATCACATGACCGGGACACCATCAAAACATGACCGGGACACCATCACAACATGACCGGGACACCATCAAAACATGACCGGGACACCATCAAAACAGGACCGGGACACCATCACAACATGACTGGGACACAATCAAAACATGATCGGGACACCATCACAACATGACCACGCCACCATCACATGGTCGGGACACCATCAAAACATGACCGGGACACCGTCACAACACGACCGGGACACCATCAAAACATGACCGGGACACCATCACAACATGACCGGGACACCATCACAACATGACCGGGACACCATCAAAACATGCCCGGGACACCATCACAACATGACCGGGACACCATCACAACATGACCGGGACACCTTCAAAACATGACCGGGACACCATCACAACATGACCGGGACACCATCAAGACATGACCGGGACACCATCAAAACAGGACCGGGACACCATCACAACATGACTGGGTCCCAATCAAAAAGTGATCGGGACACCATCAAAACATAACCGGGATACCAGCATCACATGACCCGGACGCCATCAAAACATGACCGGGACACCATCCGCCCACCAGCTCTGACGGTGACCCGACGGCGCCCGTCCGCCTATTAGTTTTGCAAGACCCCATAGCATGGCTATTGGGGAATTAGGAATGGCGATACCACACACCAAAACGGTCCGCCTGGTTGGGCAGAGATAGCTGGCAGCAAAGGGTCTTGATACTTGTTTTTCCTTAAACTCCACCTTGGCAACATAGTGGTGCATAGCAGTGCACCTTTTGGAGTTTGTGCTGATTCTGCCCTGTTTCCTCTATGCAGTCTGTGCGATGCTCGATGGGTTCGAAGATCGACGGTAGACTTGAGGAGCTGCCCTGTGGTGGAAAGGATTTGTGTCGCTTACATGTGTTGGAGGCCGCGCTACTACAGTAGTAGGTTGGAGGCCATCGCTAGTAGGTTGGAGAAGTAGGTTGGAGGCCATCACTTGTGTGTGTGTGTGTTCCCGTTCGGCTTCTATTCTTCAGCTTGTGGTTCTTTGCTGGGTTTGCATGGCGGAGACCTTCACGACAGCATGAACCAGAATGATCTTTCTTTCTTTACAGTGCACTAGGTGGTGAAGGCTCAAACCAAAGACACTGACGCGGACAACTCGCTTGGTAGGATTTTCGGCCTTGGGCCTTACACTGATCCCCCAACCTGCCCGCAATCCGTTGCAACCCCGCCGGCCTTCCCTACCATGTGGTCGGTGTCCAATCATTCTTCCAGCTGGCAAGCATTCATGCATTCATTTATTGTTAATTCATTCATTAATTCATTCTTCATGCATTCATGCATCCAAGGCCGAAGATAGCGCAACTGTGGACCCCACCCGTCTTCCTCGCTGGAATCGCGTGAAGATGGTCTCACAATTTTTTTGGGATGAGACCTTGGCGTTGTTGAGCCACGCACAAACTGCAGAGATGCAGGAAGCTGTTCTCAGGACTCCCAAATCCTTGCTTTGCAAGTTTGCAATTTTCAGCGAGTAGCCGAGAAGAAGCACAAGGGGAAGATGTTCTTTTGAAAGAGGAACTTGTATTGAAAAGAGGAAGGCGGCTCAAGTCAAACTTGAGAGTCACCTAAGCGATGGCGAAGATTTGCTAAATGAGGGATAAGCGTGCTTCAACATTCAGAGCACATTTACAAGTGTATGTTGCAAATTGTGAGCTCTCTTTGCAGTGCCATTGCACATAGAAGTGGTCATGTAAGCTTGACATTGGCAGCTGGAAAAATTGGAAGCTGAAACCTTGAGAGGACTTGCAGCGATGCTCGTGCACTGGCTTGGCTTTGGCCATTCAAAGCCTTGCAAAGGCGATATTTGCGTGCGTGCTTACACATTTGGACTCAACCAAAGCCGTCTTCTGTGCCCCGGCATAGCTAGGGGTGTGGATTCCCATGGTTTCTGTCCAAGCTAAGGCATCAACTTCCTCGGTTTCGCCCCGTTTGCTGAGTTTCCTTTTTCTCCGGAACGCGGCTGCCATGACGCTTTTGAGGGATGGTCTCACTTTAGAGGCGTGAACTACGGCAGGGTGATTTATATCTTGAAATCTAGTTTGCTAATCCCTCAAGCATCTCAATCTGCATAGTTGCTGACAACATTTGCTTGGATTGTCGACCCATCAGCTGTGAAGTTTATATAAACCTTTTTTTGTTGAATCATACGTCAGATATAGGAGGGCTGATCTTCTAGCATCGCGGAACATCCGAAGGCACTTCTGCGCTCCGTGCTACGTGCATTCATGGCAGCCACCGCTTCTTACTCATGGCGATCTCTCAACAGCGTCCGCTTCATGGACAGGGTGGATTCCCAGGGGAGGCGGATGCCTTTGTTATGAAGGTTTATGAAGTACTAGGGAGCCCTTCTGGGAGAATGTGGTTTCAGCTTCCCCTATTCCATAGGTAAGCAAAGAGAATTGGATGGAAACAAGCAGCTGCAAGGAGAACTGCATCTTGGAGCTGTTTCGCCTTGATGATGCTGCTGCATATCGCGTTGGGTATGTTTGTATCCGACAGTTGGCACTGCTCCTGCGAAACACATCCCTTTCGTCAAAGACATTGAACACTGGCGGAAAAGTCAAGGCTAAGATTGCTCAAGGCAAAAGTAACAAAGCCAAAGCTTCAAGCAAAGCTTCCAGCTTGGCGAATGGGAAGCCTCAGCAACATGCCAAAGTCGCTTCCAAGAAGGGGAAATCAGCGGCCAAGCAGTCCGAAACATTGGTGAGCTGGCCCTTCGTGCGCGCAATGTTTTTATGGGCACGTTTGGTGAGTGACCTAAAGGCTTTGAAAGACTTGGCATATCCTTTGTACATGGTGATATTGGGAGCAACCAAGAGCCAGAGCTCTCTACATTTCGCACCTTTCTGTTTGCATGGCCTCACAGCACTGAACGAGTTGATGGCAAAGACTCAAAGGTTGGTTCCACTTTCAGCACTTTTGCTGCGGTTGTTGGATATGGATCTGAAAGCCATTGAGAAGGCATCGAAAGGCTCTCGGGGGGGAGATGGGACAAGGGTTCGCTTCGCAGCGGGCAGCCCTGCTCGGTGTAACACCAGTTTGTTGTTTTTCGCTTGGCTTTTTAGCTGAGGAGCGAAGGCAGCATCAATATTTTATGGTTATAACAGACTAAGACGATGAATGATATGTTAATATTGTAGGGTGTACGTAGCGCAGGATCCAGCTCCATTGTGGTGGACTGGGGTGCTTTCGTACAGTGTTATTACTGAGGTTCTTACCGTACCGGCTAATGCGAAATCCTGCAACTGCTTTTTCCCATGCTGTTTGCCTTTTTCCCTGCGTGCATATCGTTTCTCAACTAGTTTTTTTTGTTTGCTCTCACTGGTTTGCTCTACCAGTTCTTAACACTTTGCAAGTGTATCCAGCGCCTCCAAGAAACGGTGCGGGGAGGTGATGAGTGTAACAGCAGTGGGGTTTTGGAGGGGTTCGAACACGTTTTCAAGAGGTCTGCAGTTTATGGCAACCGACCGAGTGCTATTGCTGGGCAGGCAGTGATTTCTTTGCTTGAGCTTGTGCCGGACATAGCTCAGGGGCTTGAAGCAATAAAGAAGCACAATAAAACCGGGATGGTGCGTTCATTGTTGGTGAATTATCTCAGACCATGCTTACCAGTGGCTGTGGCGACGGATACGCAGGTAAGAACTTGTTCTTTACAGCACAGACAGCTATTGAAAGGAGGCACATATTTGCGTAGCTATGGGTGACATGCAGATAGCATTTCTCAAGTGATGCAAGTGCAATCACTCAAAAGGCGACACGGGTACGATGTTAAATCTGGTTGTTTGTGTTTGCTTGGGCCGTACACCCACCAACCCTTCTCGAAGGAACACTGACCTTTTCCATCTTCACTTGCTTTCCTTTCCTCCCCTTTCCTTTCGTGAGTCGAGCTATTGACTATTGGCGCCTGCAAACCTATTTTCTTTACTGTATGATCCTTTGTTTCTGTGAGAATTGGAATCCACGCTCCTTTCGTTTTCGCTGGAGCATCATACACCAACAAAGGTGTCTTCATGGTCTGATGACCACTGTTTTGGCTCAAGGAACGCAAAAGGTCCGTTTTCGAGGGCCGACGTTTTTTCATACCCAAGCTCAGGTTATGAGCCCAAATTTCAATCAAGTCCACCCAGCGCTGAGTGAGGGTCAGCGGCTGGTCGTTGGCCGCCATGAGCTCGCTGGTGCAGCGGAGGCGCAGGGCACCACTGACCAAGTCCTGCCTGATCTGGTCAGGCAAGGCTCCAAGAAGCACGCCGACCCCTCGCTGGTCAATCCGCTGCAACGCCGGCTCCGCCACAATCTCGGGCTTCGACCTGAGCCTCTCCAGCGGACTCATTGCCAACCAGCGAGCATAGGCATAGTGATGCTGGGCAGCCAGAAGCGACTCTTCAGCCCTTCGCCGAGTTGGAGATGTCATCCATCAATGGAAAGGCCGTCGTAAGCCAGTCCCCGAACAGGATCGATGCTCCATCCACATTCGGAGCTGGAAGTGGCGGTAGCTCCAAGTTGCGAAGAGCTTCCGTCATTGACGACAACGGGCGGACACCCTCACCAATCCTGGTGACATGACCACCACCGCCACCCAGTGCCGTAGGAGCCGTCCGCGAGGTAGTCCCATGTTGATGCAGTGGGCCAGGAGGACGATCAGGAAAAACGCCTTGATGCGGTCCCCTCCATTCTCCGCTCTATTGAGGCCTCAAGCATGTCGAGCAGGACCTGAGTTCGCCTTGTCGCCCACACTGGTTGCCGGCTCAAACGATGATGATTCCGCTCCACCAGTGATGAGCTTCACCTCCTTTTCGAAGTGCGCCTGGGCTTCTCGCAGTACCCTCTCCCTGATGACCTCAACCTCCTTCACCGTGGGACTTCGTCAATGGTCTTCACGAGGCATCGGATCACCAGTGGACACTCCCTGACCATTGTCCGGTCTTGGTGCACTCCAAAAAGGATTCCTCTCTTGTTGATGATGCGGCTGAGGAGTGGCAATCAAGTACGGATCTAAGACCGCGGCTGAGGACCAGGACCCTTCACAGCACCGGTCTGCCCTTGTTGAGGCGGAAACGGATATTGAGGGATGGTGTATTCCTCACTGGTGCCTCACCACCTACTTGCCCCACATATTCTCCCAAATCATGCCCACGAGCGAGAGGTCCAAGAAGCCCATGTACAGGAGGTAGTTCAGGACGCGGGGCCTCGCGATCTCTCCCAGCCTGTTTCCATGCCCTGATCTCCTCGACGAGCTCCATCTCTCACACCCGAGGCAGAAGCAGCAGCAGTAGGCTGCGGTTGAGCCGCAGTTGACGCCTTGACATGGAGGGCTGGAAGGCTCATGTAATGAATCAACATCAAACCTACCGGAGCTTGCAGTCGAGAGGATTGTCAACCCTCCAAGGTGATGAAGATTGCACGCGGTGCTGCTGCCGCCCTGGGCTTGATCGCCGCGGTTCCTGGACTGAGTGGGACTGTTCGAGCGGCCTCGATGCTTGGCCTGGCAGCTTTGAAAGCTTTCGTAGGCAGTGTTTTGACCAAGACGGCCGCGGGCCAGTCCAAGAGGTCTAACGCATCCCACACAAATGAATCAAAAAGATGGTCGAGGGAAAATGAACCCGGCAGAAGTAGGAGCACCTTGCCAGCCTGGCACCCGGAACGGGGCGTCACCATGGAATGATGGGCCTCTGCAGCCTTGGACGCTCGACCCGTTCCAATCTCCACCCACTGGGACCGACCGGTGGGAGCGCCTTGGTTCGGGCGACGGCGCTGGAGAGTGGTGCACGCATGTCATCCACGAGGGTGTCGGTGCATTTCACCGCAGCAGCAGCCGACGACCATGGAGGTCACTGATGACTGGACCGTCTCCCGCAACTGTGACATTGAAGGGAGTGGCGTGGCCACAGTTTTTTCTACGTTCGCTTCGCCTCCGACCCGATCCGAGAGAGTTCGCAGAACCCCCTCCCACCACCAGGCACGGTGTCGCCACTGCATTGTGGATATGGTGGCGCTGGAGCCGGGCAATCCAGAGCGTTGGAGCGTGGGAGAAGTGCCACGGCTGAGCTTCCTGGTGTAGGTGGTCTGGGCGGCTGAGGAAGAAGCGATCAGTGCACGAGACATCGTGAATCTCGAGGGTGATGATGGGCTATGTGGCTCGTTTGGAAGGGTGCCAGAGAAGAGGAGAAGTGGACAGCGTTGAGCCGGCCCGGGCGCGTTTGCCGGCCTGTCGCTGCGGGCGGACGCACTCCCTGTGTGGATGGGCATTTCTTCGCCGGCAAACCCCGGTGCCCCCCTCGAAGGAGGGATCTGACCCAGCATCGGATGGAAGCTTCGAACTTTACGGTGAGCAGTAGACAGTAGAAGAAAAAACCTACTGCGAACCTGCTTTTGCGCGCTGGCCCCGCCAGCCGGGGGAGTGTGAGAATTGGAATCCACGCTCCTTTCGTTTTCGCTGGAGCATCATACACCAACAAAGGTGTCTTCATGGTCTGATGACTACTGGTTTGGCTCAAGGAACGCAAAAGATCCGTTTTCAAGGGCCGACGTTTTTTCATACCCAAGCTTAGTGTCCACAACGTGCCCTTCACTTCCACGACGTGGCTATGACCCTATTTGCTCGCCTTTGTTTTGGCGTGCTTCTCAGAAGCAGCTTCTCCTACCTTTGTTGCTTCTTGACTTGTATTCACTTTTTTGCATTGTTGCATGAGCAGGCAGGGCTGGATTATGGCCCTCGCCCTGCTAATGCGGAAGACTTCGGTGACAATGATATAGTAGATTAGTAGATCAAAAATGTCCCTGTCAACTTGACGCGATCAGGGTCCTACACTCCTTCGCAACTTTGAACCCGCACGAACCATAGTGTAGGCCAACCATCAGATCAAACAGGAACTAAAAATTACATTGTTTGTCTAGTTTTTCCACATGTATGTTTGGATGTGGTCATGAGGCATCCATAAACATAAGGTCCCTATCAAAAAAAATCACTGGAGCGTATCCATCTCTCAACACTCCATCCATCTACCGTGTATATATATATATTCTATATCTAGAATCTACATGTACCAACCACCCGTGTGGCCTCATCTACGTTGCATTTAGTTGGCTCAGTTCTTTTTAGCTAAGCTTGATACTTGTCGATCCCTATCTATATGGTATTTGTTTATCCCAACTCCATCCATATCTTAAAGAGTTGCGCACGATATGTCAGCACAAGGTCCTGATCCAATCGCCGCCCCGCATCATCCAATTTCGAAGAATGCCTTTGTCTACTTATCCCAGTACCTGTCTCCGCTCTACTTGTCTTTTTGTCTACCTACCTACCTAGCTTTCTGTATTTTCTGTTCATCTTTCTATCGCTTGAAAGGCTTCGATTTGATAGGGCAGCTACCATTGCAAGCTGCTTCATACATTCTTGCACCACCGATATCTTGGTCACACCCGCTTACAGCTACAGCATGCTACAGCTGTGTTGGGTGGATGCCTTACGTCGAAAGGGCCAAGAAAGCCGGATTTAAAAGGCTGCCATGTTCAGCTGTTTTGGCATTGTGATTGCTGTCAGCTAAGAATGGCTTGTGGGCGGGGCGATTACAACCGGGTGCTCCGGGGCCGTGGTCGTTATCCAGGTGGATAGATATTTCGGGGCCTTTGTCGTTGCCAAGCTGAGTGTTGCGAGTTCCAATTTCAGCCGTTCCTTTCTGCAAACCGGAAACAACTCCCAATGAAAGATGATTTGGTTTGACATGCGACTTCACGGAAGTTGAATACAAAGGCCTGGGAATTGAATCCAACCTTGAGGTTGCCAATTCGGGTTTGATAGAAAGCCTCATTCCGGATTTGAAGCAACTAGCACTCAGCCCAGCCTGCATTTGATACCTGAATTTGATCAGCTATGGGTTCGTCTTGACGTTACAGTGAAGCAAGTCACCACTGTGGAACCAGCAGTTTACCTTTTAAGAGCCACACACACACTCACACCCACCATCTCTGCCAGTAGACTCCAATTTTCTCAGCCTCTGAATTCACAGTGAGGCCAGAGTAGACTACCAGCTTTTGACACACGCTCCTTGTGGAGGGGTCGGTGGATGTAGAAGTTGTTGCCTGTAGATAGGTATCGCAGCTGGCCTCGGAACTCTGTTCGGAACTCCCCTCCAACCCCACTTTACCGATTGGTTTCTTTGCCGACCCCCAGAATGCTTGCAAGATTTTCCAAGTGAAGCACGCAAAGACAAAGACCAAATTTGTGTGTTGTTGTTTACTGTAATATTGTTGTGTCTCTTGCGAGAACTAAAACTCACAATTGTATCGGCCCTGCCAACGTATGTCACAGGTCATGCGCTCCCATTACTTCAATAACTCCAGCCAACTCCACGTTACATTGTGGTACAGCAGAGCAGCCAGGAAACTTACTGTATTGAAACTGAAGCAACAATTAGGTAGCCTATAGTCCTCATTCTGCCCACTTAAATGTTGCACTCGCAGGTCCAGACGAGGCAAAGGAGGCAGTTCATATCGAAGTGCCTTGGATTGTTGTCCTTCGACAGAGTTTGTTTGCAACTTGGCCAAGTTGTCATCAGCATGCTTCATTTTTGTTATCGGCTTGCAGCGGCCAAGATGCTCCTTCAGCTTCCGAACTTTGAAGAAGAGACGCTGAGCAAAGTCGGCAACTACATCTGTGCCTGAAGCCCAGCAAGCCCAGCTCATCGAACAGAGGTGGCGCATGAGCAAAAGGTCAACGCCAAAGGTAATTACTTGATGGCTTAACTGCAGCACAATCTCTTAGCGTGCAAACAGGTGGGGACACCTAGGTCAGGCACAGCCTTCCTTCGTGGTGGTTCCTCTTAGGCGCCTTCCGCCCCCCAACACACACTTAAGAAGAGTGCTCCTTAGAGCGTGGCTTCAGGCTACTCACGGTGTGCATTAGCACTTTAGTGTTACTGCAGTTTAGACCTTGACTAAAAGAAATTGCTGAGTCGGTCGAACAGGATGTCTGAACATGGGTGAAACATAGAGAATCAGTTAAAAATTGTCCAGGTACGCTGGGATGATCAGTCCCAGTATCACCAAGGCTTAGAGAGCATCTTCGTTGGCGGTAGACTCTCTGCCTTGCCACCACCCCCTGCAGCTGTACAGTATCGAGTTCAGCCAAATAGTATAGAGAAGGATAGGTTAGAGTCCCTTGGAACGGGGGTTGACACACACACAAGAAGCCGAAACGGCGCAGCTAGCAAGACTCAGTACAAGCTCCTTTTTCCAGAAGGCAGCAACGCTGCAGCACAATGTTCCTTCGAGTGACCTTTTGTCACGTATAGTATAGCTGTACCAATGCTGGTGAAGTAAGTTCGGCCATGTGTGGTGGGTATGAGTATTGTTGAAGTGTGTGGTGCCTGGATTGTAAGGCTGATAAGCGCAGGCGGTAGCTTCCTGCTGATTGTGTGTCCCGGAGTTCTTGTCTGCGGGTTGATGAGAAAGCCCGAAAGATGATCGTCTTCCACAGTCTCGATTTGCACTGGATTTCCGTAGAAATCTGGATGGGCTAGTGTGGTAATAGGTAGTGATTGTCTGAAGTGGTCATTGATGAGAATGTACCGGTTGTCGACGTAACGAGTGTTGAAAAGGTGGAGGTTGGGTTGTTGTAAAAATGTGTGGTGTGCTTCATGCCAAGAATGTTCAATGAGTGTGATGGCCACATTGCAAAGTGCGGGGGATAGTTGGCTGCCAATGCCTGCTCCTTGGATTTGCTGGTAGTTGGTGTAACATGCCTGAAAGATGCAGGGTTGCAGTGCTTGTTGCACAATGAGCGGAATGTGCTTGGGGCGGTGGATGTAATGTCGGCCAATGTGCGAGTGTTGGATGGGGTTGCCGGTTGACTGTATTTCTATGGTGAGTGTGGTGGTGGTGTGTTGTAAATGCCAGCGGTTGCAAAGGCTGATGACTGCATCCACGAGTCGTTGTTGTGGAACGCTGTTGAAGAAGCCGACGAGATCATCGTTGATGGCAGTAAGGTGGATGTCTTCAGGTGTGTGTGTGTGAAATGGTGGTGGAGTTGCTTCCACAGGTTGGGTATGGGGAGTTGTCCTGGGAAAAAGGGCTTGTGCGTCACCGTGTTTCACTTACCTGGTCTCTTAGGTTTTTCACTTAGGCCGGCGTGTGGCAAACCGCTTTCAGTCCGGCGCGCAAATTCATAAGTGTGTCTGTGTGTAACCTTTGGAGTCAGCAGGGGGGCTGCCTGACTTGTAACAGTGGCAGTCCAACGAAGAGGCTGTTACGAGTCACTGATATGGATTCTGGACGCAGAAATCCACTTACCTGCTTGAATTTTTAAACTCTGCAGACGCGCGCGACCGCCGTCAGCCCTGATCGTCGCTTTCGTTTCTTGAGCTTTTGGCCCTATTTCCGTTTGAGGACCCCCAGGCTCCTTTGGGTTTTGCCTGAACTGTTCAGGATTTGGGAACCCAGGCTGGCGTGTGGCAAACCGCAACTAAATCAGCGCGCATTTCTATAAGCGCGTCAACCCGCTATTTCAAGGGGGGCCGACACTTGTAGTTGGTTAGTCAAGCGACTGATGTTAAAACTTTAACTTTCATTTTTCGATAAAGCATTTGCAGCAGGGGGTAGGCGACGGACAGGCACTATCCAATGAAGACACTGTCAGGTCACGGTGGAGTGTGGGACGCCGCATTGCGCGCTCATTTTCAAACAATTTAACACAGATCACGGTGGAGCAATGTGGGGCGCCACATTGTGCACCTGCTCATTTTACAGCTCTCTCTGCCACACCGTTCTCCAGCTACTGCGTTCCGTGATCCAGTAACTGAAGTTCCATGTGAGCGCGCTCTCTCTTAGGGCGCTGCCTGCGTGCTCTCACGCGCGCCCTTTCATTCTGTTACGTTTCCACTTAGGGTCTCTTGCTGGGATACTTTTTGGGTGGCGTTGCCAGGTAAGACGAAGCGCAAGCTGACATGAAACCTTTCTACGCCCTTATTTTCCAAAATGGGTGGCGTTGTCTTGTACATCGTCTTGATGTTTTGGTGGTTTTGCTCGCCAGAATTTTCGTCGAAACCTCACAAAGGAAGCGGCGACACGCTGTTCATGTCTATTTTGGATTAGATGCGTGCCCAACAAGCAACTAGCTGTACACACACACGTCACATATCTATATATATAGGCGTGCGTACTTAGCACCTGGGGGCGCTCAACAATTTTTGCGCAACCTTTCGCAGGCCCTGTGAGTATGTTCGTGGGAAACTTGTCCGTTTTCACTGCGCGGTTCCTGAGGCTCTTTTCATTGACCACCTGGGGCTGTTGAGCCGCTCTGTGGCTTTTCCAGAATTGACCACTCCAGTCCTCTTACACTTACGTCGCCACAGCAAGCCAGTTGCTGAGATTGATGTCCGACGTGTTGGCGAGCCACCCCGCCCACCCCGATGATGTTGAGGCACTGCCGAGTGGAAGCCTTGCGGCGGCAGCTCAAACTGATGATCTCCCTTGTGGAAGAAAGCCGCCAGCAGGCGAGATACGCTCAAACGTGAAACGCGTTCAAATTCTGCAGTACCTCCCTGCAGGGTGTGAACACCAAAACCTGTTCGATGGGTGGCCCAAGAAGAGTGTTTGCGCAAATAGACATGTGAGGGTTCGAGGATACTCGTTGGTGTACCGCGCAGATGTTGGCAGCGTTCTCTTTAACCACTTAACACGCACAAGTAGTCATATATATATATATATGTATACATATGTATGTATTTCTGTGTGTATGTGTATGTTGCAGAGCCTGGCAAACCAGCAATGTGATAAGGATTGTTGTCGCTGTGTTGCCGCGAGTGGTATTAACCAGCTTTTTGTCGCATTAGGTGCGTTGTTGATCTTCAGCTAGCAAAAACCGTGGTATTTACGACGTTTTTCCGTAGGATGCAAAAGCAAGCCATTGCTTTTACATGGTTAAAAATTGCGGCTGCTAAAAACTGTCACTTATGCGGCGATAAGCGTTTTGCTAATAGAGATGTCTTCAACGAACTGTAGTTTGCGATTTTGTGAAGATGTCGCAAACCTTGATCCAAAATTGATCAAACGTGATCGACCTCCAGAAGCAGCTCAAAGTAGCTTCTCATGAGCCAAGGCTGAAATGAGCTTTTGATTGCGCAATGACTGGTGAGCAACCGACGCGCCCGTCTGGCCGGTGCCCGGCAGCAGGCCAGCCGCAAACCAAAGAAAGGACAGGCGGGGAGATGCAGAATGCGGGAGTAGTAGTAGCAGCAACCGTGGCCGAGGTGGTAGTAGTAGCAGTAGTAGTAGTAGGCAGCAGCAGCAGCAGTCGTCATCGTCTCGATTTTGATTGGCCTAGTTCATCAATGTTGTCAGATCGCGAACTGATCCGCTGCACGATAGATGATCGTAAGTAGCGCGGGCACCTTGCCTGGCCACCTTCAGCTACAGCGCGCGTTTCAAGTGGAAGGTTTTGAGAACACATACGTAACACTGTCAGCATAGCAGTAGCAGTAGCAGTAGTAGCGGGGGTGGTGGTGGTGGTGGTAGTAGTAGTAGTAGAGTATTGTAGTTGTAGAAGTGGTAGTAGTAGTAGTAGTAGTAGTCGTAGTAGTAGTAGTAGTAGTGGTAGTGGTAGTCGTAGTAGTAGTAGTAGTAGTAGTCGTAGTAGTAGTAGTGGTGGTAGTAGTAGTAGTAGTGGTGGTAGTAGTAGTAGTGGTAGTAGTAGAAGTAGTAGTGGTAGTAGTAGTAGTGGTAATAGTAGTAGTAGTAGTAGTAGCAGTAGTAGTAGTAGTAGTGGTAGTAGAAGTAGTGGTAGTAGTAGTGGTAGTAGTAGTAATAGTAGTACTAGTAGTAGTCGTCGTCGTCGTAGTAGTGGTAGTAGCAGTAGTATTGGTAGTAGTAGAAGTAGAAGTAGAAGTAGAAGCAGAAGCAGTAGTAGTAGTAGTAGTAGTAGTGGTAGTGGTAGTGGTAGTTGTAGTCGTCCAATGTGAGTGAGTGATCTGTGACCAAGCATGATGAAGAGGATTCCAGGACCATTGTGGACTTGGATGATGACTGGTACACAGCTGAAGAAATTGCGGAGAAGAAAGGAATCAAACAAGGCTGCAAGGGGATTATGACCTCAAAGTGGAGGCTTCAGTCAAGGGATTGATGAAAGGCCCCATGAACATGGCAATCTGGCAGCCTTGGGTGTCAAGCAGTACCATTTGGTCAAACCCACCACTAAGACCCAAGTGGTGAAGAAGCGCAAAGCGCAGATGGATGAGAAGGTCGAAGATGTGAGCCAGAATGATTTTGCTCAGATGAGGCAAGCTATGCACTCAGACCTCACTCAGAAGATGATTGGCAACAGCAGGTCCAGTGGGGAGTGGCCCGAACAAGGCCAAGGAGGGAGAGGTCGAAGTCAGGTCGACTGGCTGCAGCACTACAAGAAGTTCAAGGGCAGCCTGACCAGCATGAACACTGAAGTGCATGCAAGTCTTGAAAGAGAAGCTGTCCACTTCTCCTGAGAGTGGCATGAAGCAGCTGGTGAAGGACCAGCTGGAGGCTAAGAGCTCTGCTCTGTGCAATGAGAAGAAGAACCGGATGTCTGAGCATTTGCTATATCCCAAAGAGCACAAGGATGAAGAGGAAGCCAAGCAAAAGGCCTCTGAATTGAATGCGATGAATGAAGCTACGCAAACCTTCTTGATATCATTCGGGAAGGAGATTGCTGCGCGCAAGGCTGCGATCGCCAGCTAGTGGAGCCCTCGCTTGTTGGCCCTATTGGGTAGCCTGGGCAAGGCTGAGATAGAGTTTGGCTGTTGAAACCCTGCCTTTGACAAGGCCTTGGTGGGAAAATGAGCTTGGCGCAAGGGGTTCCTTTTTTGTATTTCTTTTGGGCATTGCAAAGCCTTGAAGATTGGGCATCTTTCAGCACAAGGCTGCCTGCACACTTCCAATGTTGCGCCTGCCACCACTGCAAAGCTGGCAATTGAAAAGGCTCAGAAAGCAGAAGCTGCTGGAGCCAAATTGAAAGTTGCCAAGGGAAAGGCCACTGCTGCCAGAGCATTGAGAAATGCAGCCCCAAAGCCTCATGGCCACCCATCTATTGGGCCAAGGTTCCAATGAAAAACAAAAAACACACCAAGTGGTCTCGATGCGGTGTGCTTTCCAGTTGCCAAATGAATACACGGCAGACCAGAAGGCCATCGAAGCAGCCCAGCCTGCACAAGGCTCCAAAACTTGGCAAGCTTTAACCAAAATTGGCTGGCTCCCAACACCCCAATAGTTTTGGATACATTGCTTTGGGCTTTCATGGCCCTGTCCAAGGCACCATCAGAGAGGAATCACATGATTTTCTCGCAATCAACCTTCCTGCCATGGAGGGTGGGGCTGGCATCAGGGTCCCCTTCACAGTAGCAAGTTTCACTGGGAATACAAAACCAAGGCTGCAATCCTTGAGGTGTTGCTGTGGTCTTTGGATTGCTTAAAGCAAGGCAGATACCCAACCAGAAGGCATGATGGCAGCCCATGGTTGAAAAGCGACAAGACAAGGGCCAAGTTCAAGGGGAAGTTGCCTGTACAAGGCATGCTTTGTGAATTCGAGTTGATTGGGATTGGCTGAACTCTTGGCTCAACTTTTCATGTTGGAATACAGGAAGTGGAATGCGCTGGCTTTGCAAAGCAAAGCATGTTGACTTCAGAAACTTCTCCCAGAATGACAGGGAAACAGGCCCGTGCAAGGACAGCTTTGTGCAAAGGGTTGTAGATATGAGAAAAGAGCTTTGGCCTGCAGATTTGCGTTTGCCTGACAGGTGTTGGTGCTGATATTGCAGGCCAGCTTCTAGTGGAGTTGGCCAAATGCTACCCTGGAAGGGCCTTGAAAGAGAATGTTGCCCGCCTATGGCAAGACATCCAGCTCTTGTACAGTGAGCACCATGTTGAGTATAAGCTGCACACATTGACCCCTGAAGTGCTGAACAAGGGCAAAAGTAAAAAGAAGACCAGCCAGGTGGCAACTTTGAAAGGGCCAGCAGCTGTGAGGCATTTGGTACCACAGTTGCCAATTCTGACGGCTGAGCATTTTGCTGAAGGCGCTGAACTTCAGAAAGCCTACCACAAGCTTGCCAGGTTCCTTGCAGAAGCATATTTGTGCGTCGAGACCAACTCACTCCAAGACTTGCCAAGGGGCCAAAGTGGCTGGCCAGTACATGGCCTTGGAAGCAGCAGCTTTGAGACATGACCCTGAGTCAAAAGATTGGCACATCATGCCAAAGCTGCGCCTTTTCCAGCACCTTTGCGATTCACCATTTCCACAGAAGAGTTTTTGGCGTTACAAAGATGAAACTACACGGGGGTTGCTGCAGCAGCTCTTTACCAGAAGGGGTGGCAAAGACACCAGGTGTGAATGCTGCCAACTGCTTGCTGAAGTGGCAGCAAAGCGCAGCTTTCCCTGCTATGCGCCAACATTGAGGCCAAATGCAACCTTGCCAGCCAAGTCATGTGCCTGAAAAGGGTTGCCTGCACCAGGCACCAAAACACCACAAAGGACTTGCCTGCACAGGGTTGCCTGCGCAAGGCACCAAAACAACACACACGCCTTGTCTGAATAGAGTTGCCTGCACAAGGCACAAAACAAAAAAGAAAAAGGCCATATACAATGCAGAACTTGGAAGCTCCATTTTGAAGCTTCCAAGAAGCTCCATTTTAAAGCTTCCAAACTTTCTCACAAAAATCTGTTTAAAAAAACAAAGCAGCTTCATTTAGGAGCTGGCAGCTCTTGTAAGCAGCTTCAGTTTGGAGCTGCCAGCTCCAAACAAGGCTGCCAGCTCCAGATTGAAGCTTCCAAGCAGTTCCATTCCAGGGCTGGCAGCTCAAACCAAAGCTGGCAGCTCCAGAATGAAGCTGCTGCGATTCTCAGGAGGTGGCGTGATGGTTTCGGAGGTGTGATGAGGAAGTGGTTGGCAAAGCTCCGGGGATTGCCATGCGGCGAGGCAAGCTTTGAAGTAAATCTGGTGACAAAATTCTGGAAGTTCCGGCATGGCGGAGGATGACTTTGTCTCCAAGGAATTGCTGAAGTTGCTTGATGGAGCGAGCAGTGAATCTGGGCTCATGGCGCAGGCGTTGCAAAAGTTGTTGCCCTTGGGTGGCAAGAAAGTGGTCTGCTCTGTGGGCGAGTGTGGGCGGTAGTAGACCGTGGTGTTTTGGCCGTTTGGTCATGGCTTTGTGAAATGCGGTGAAGGATTGTCCCTTGGTGGAGAAGAAAGTGCTGTTCATGTTGGCGCCTAAGAAATGGCGCAAGTGTGGTGGTAGCTGCAAGTCGTCCAAAGTGACGATGAGGTGTCCGTTGTTGGTGGACTGCTGTGGATCGGTAAGCAATTGGCAAAGGTGCGCGCAGCCGCATGGCAGCTGATCCTCATGAGGAAGTTGCGGGAATGATTGTTCCCAACGCCGGTGGTTGTGGAGTTGGCTGCTGAGCGTGCTGTGAGCTGCTTCTCGAAGTTTGCATGTGGGAAGGTGAAGTGGGATGGCATGATGTTTGCGCTGGTGGAGTAAGGTGGTGAGCCACCGTTGAGTGTTGTGTTGGAAAGTGTCGCGCGCCAGGAAAGGAACTGTGAGAGGTTGATTCTTCGAGGCTGGTTGCCACTCGGCGGATGGCATAGACCTCGGTCCGAGTATCTGCCGGACCGCAAGCCAAGGGCGGCGTCGTAAGATGCTTGGGAAGACTTAGTGGGGTGTGGTGAGGGCGTGGTGGAGTTTGTGTGAGAGGTGCTGTATGGGTTGCTTGGTGGTGTGGAGGCGTCTTCGTAATCCGGCTAAGAGCCTGTAGTGGTTGGCTAAAATGTGCGCGATGGCGGCTGAATTGCCATCCATCTGCCTTAAGCTTGAGGTGTTGTGAGATGAACGGCCAGTTGAGTGTGGGTTGCCATTGGGAGATGTAAAGTAAAGGTGTTCGTGGATCCAGGCTTGGTCGTAGTCGGGATAGCTGGCGATGTGGATCGTGAAGTAGTGGGTGATGGTGCCTGTAGAGTGCCAATAGCGTAGTGAAAGTTCTGCTGATATGGGTGTGTTGTGAGAAAGTTGCTTGAGTTTGGCTTTTCGGTAGCGCTCTCTGTGAGGGGAATGTCGATGGCAATGGACCCCACATAGAAGTGGCCGTGTTGGTGGTAACATCTCTGGGTGTCGTGGGAGTTGAAGTGGATCGTGATGTAAATAGAGTTGGGTGAGATGAATTTTGCATAGTGTATTGGTCTGTGTGGATGCCCACTTGCTGGAATCGGTGGCGCCATTGTTTGGATCGATGTGTGTTGGATGGGTGAACAATGCAGTGAGGTGGAGAAGTCCAAGGCTGTAGATGGCCTCGGCTCGATCGATGTAAGTGGCTGCGTGAATGAGGGTGGCAAGTGTTTTGTGGAGTTGGCGGATATGTTGGAGGTTGGTTGATTGCTGCTCCGACGGCCACAAGCTGTTGGAGGCTTTTGGTGGGAAGGCGCGTGACCTTGCTCAGAGGTTTGCCATACTTGATGGCCAGCCTCTTTGCGTTGTTGCTCCGTGGTACCGGTAGACTGGAGCAGGGTCAAGATCTCTTGCGCAGATTGTTTGACCCACGCTGCAATGTGTGGAATGGCCCACTTGCGCGATGGACAACGGTTCCGGGTCACGCGATGGAGCCTCGGCGAGTGGTGGATTTGCTGGGGGAAAGCTCGAGGACATGCGCCTGCAATTTGGCGCGGGCTCGCTGGAGCTCTTCTTCTTTTGCATGGAGCTGGCAAACGGCGCTTCCTTGGGCCGGGCCGGGGAGTGTTTGCGGATCTCTTGGGTGATGATATCCACCAAACGTTGCATGAATGCTTTGGCTCCCGTGGCTTTGGGGGGTGGAGCGCGGCCCGCCGCACGGTGAAGAGCATCCGCGGCGCCATCCAAATCTACGTGTTGCTCACGCAGCTGTTGAATGAGGTGAGTGAGGAACACGGGCTCTGCGATAGAGTAGGTTGGCGCAAGGCTGGTACATTTGCCATTGGAAAGGGTGCGGGCCGGGAAATCGGAAGTTCCATGGAATGCTAAGAGCCACGAAAAGAGTTGGAACGCGGGCTATCCTGCAATGCGTTGCTTCCGACTCCACGCGATCGGTTGTATCTTCTTGAACATTTGATGGTTGGCCGTGACATTGGCATCCCAATGTTCATCTGTCTGCCTCCAGGTGGAGGGAATCGGAGGGGCTGGGAATGGAACGTCTGGGTGGAAGTGTGACGGTGGCGTGGCGAAATCGCCACCTGGGTTCCCGGCGGCGGTGGTGGTGATGGCGGTGTGTGTGTGGTGGTGGAAGCTGAGTCTGAGATTGGGTGGAGGTTGAAGTGGAGCTGTGTGGTAGGTCGGGGCTGGAGTAGTCGGGTGAGGTGGGCGATGTTGTGGAGATGCGATTGGTTGCGGAGGTGAGGGAAGTCAGTGGAACTGAGTAGTGGGGACACTGTAGTAGTGTTGCATCATCGGTTGGGGCATGGATGGATAGACCATCATTGGTGTAGTGTATGTGTGAGGTGTCGCGTAGGCAGGGGGTGGAAGGTGTTGAGGTTGCGGTGGATATGGATAAGTGGTGAAGTGCTGTGGAGGTGGAGTGGCAGCATAAGGCATTGGCATGTGCTGTGGTGGCATGGGCGCTGGACCATAGGTCGTGGAAATCATAGGAGCCGCCGCCACGGGTAGCGCATGGCTGTGAGCACGATCGGAGGAAAGATTGAAATGTCGATCAGGAATGCAGGTCGAGCAATGAATGCCCGTTAAATTGCAAATCGGTGAGTACTTAGCTGCATGTCATTGAAAAGTTGGGAAAGTGGTTAATTAGTGGCATGTCCTATATCCTATGAATACTTAGCAGCATGGTATGTCATTCTTTGAAGGGAATCTCAGTGAGCCCTGCAGCAGATGCGCAGCGCTTTCAAGCAAAAACGCTGAGCCGGTGTTGTTCGAGCAGGAACGCAAGGTCAGTGAAAGTTCACCCTGAACGGCATGTGCATAAAGCGCCCCTTGATGGGATCACACCACAGACCTCAGTGGGACCCTGTGGCGAAACACACTTAGATCAGGGCTCGCAAGAGCATACTGCAATTTAGACCTTGGCTGGTGAACCGCAAGATGGGGAGTCCACTTAAACAGTATTGTTTAACATGGGTGAGACGAAGGAAAGCGCATTAGCCTTTATGATGTTTTAAAATGATGGTACACAGTCAGACGTCTCTGACCGCTTCCCATGACATCACTAGCTTCGTTGGCCAGCGTCGTGATGTCATGCGCTGGCCGCCTGCTACTGCACATAAAGATGTAAGAAATGAATTCCGAGATCCTTTGTGTGTCCGAATCCTTGGAGACAGGTGTTGACACATACACACATGCACACCACAAGTGTTGCGCTTGGCTCGAAACTATTATCAGCTTCTGCTGGCATGCCAACACAGAGGTATTGCCATAGAGACTTGCAGGGTGAACATACTTTGTTTTGTCGCCAGACCCAGCGACGATAAAGCAGAGATTGAGCTCTGCCCAAAGCAACAATGTCCGCGACTGTTGCACAGTGAGCTTTGCCGCAAGTTTCAAGACGAGCACACACGCCACGCTGTAGAGCTGCTGGGCCAAAACGCGCTCTTGCTCTTCACCACGGCGCTCTCACCTTTTTGTAGCGAACGAGTATTGTGCCCCCCCACCACCGCCCCCAAGACGACGTTGAATATGTTGCGCAGCTGTGCGCTGATGGACCACTTAACGCCCTATTTCGAAATCCAAAAAGATGCTTTCAGCTTCCAGGCAGGAGTGTGTCGCCCGACAAACTTGCGGAGAGCAGCCGCCAAACGAGCGTTTCGCTCGAGATTTCCTTTAAAGTCAAAATTCAACTTTCCAAAACGAGCATTTCGTTCGAGGCTTCCTCCAAAAGTCACGCGTCAAAATCTCCAAAAGAGCGTTTCAACAGTGAAGCGGGAAATCTCATCAGAGCAAACATATCAAACAGCCTGCCAAGCAGTTTTGCATTCCTGGCCCCTCAAAAGCATTACTGTCACAGCGACATTCACCTACACTAGACATCCCAAGCTCACGATTCCGTCCGCCTTGATACCTCCAAGATGCACAAAATACTGCGCTTGCCACGAAAAGTGACGATGTGACATCTTCATACCTTCAGCAAAATTTGCACCACACCACACATTTGGAATGATTTCGACACATTCTGTGGTCTATCACATCCATCGAATTCGTTCTTTAAGCTGAGGTTTCTCACGCAAACACAGTTTCTAGGCAACAGCCCGAAACGCAAATTCCACTGTCACAGTGACATTTAACACCTCCAACAAACCACCCTCCGAACGTCAATCCCACTGTCACAGCAAATACGTTCACAAAAACCTACACCGGCGCAGCAAAAACATCCTCCACCTTTCAACATCTTATTTTTTCCACCCTATTTCACATGAATCTAACACTTCATGTTTCCGTCCAAGCCCTCCTCCAAAAGCTTCCCCACTGTCAACGCCATAGCGATTCAACCGCGAACGAGTGCGGTTGCACGAACCGCGAACGATTGCGGATGGTTGCGAGCGCTACAACAACGCGTCGCGAACAAGACTCTACGCATTCGGAGAACAAACGTTACTCTGATTTACTCTTTGCGCGCTCCCCGTTGTATTCAGACCGGGGTCTGCGGATATGTCAATGTGACAGTTTCCTCACTTCGCGAGGTACAACGCTTCAGGGAGCAGCTCCAGGATGCAACCTTGAGTTTTCTTTGCTGCGCCATTTTTGTTTAAAAGAAACGTGTTGAATGCTCCCATTAAAGACGTTTGAGTCTCTAGGAGCCGCCACCTCCTGGGCAACTCTTTGTTTTGGACGCCACACCTTTGAGTCGCCAACGTGCACAGCTGTTGAACCGTGTTTGGGCGTGCAAGACGGCTGTCGATGAGGTTTTGGCAATCCTTGAAACATCCTATAAATAGGCATGAATAGACCATTTTTTCCATTCGATGCCGATCGAATTCCAAGTTGCGAGGTTATGCAGAGCATGAGAAAAGGTGCATCGAGGCTGAAACCGCCCAGACAAGAGCGTTTTGGCTGAAAGGTTCTTCACACAGTTGATTTCCCGTCTTGAAAGGATCACAAGCGGGCCTTTTTCCTTCACTTGAGAACAAAAGCCTTCAGGTGTTCGCACCTCTATTCACAGACTCCCCCTCTGTCGCTCTGACAGATTCGGACGGAAAAGTCCAAAAGGAGGCTCAAGGCTTTGTTGAAAGGCTTTTCGCCTTATAGTACTCGGCCCTCATCTTCTCGATGGACCAGCCCTTTCCAGAATGCGCTTTCTGGAATTTGTTCCACGGATTGGTCGGGGATGGCGACCTCTTCCGACCTCCATGGTGGCTGGTCTGAACCACCGCGCGGTGCAAGCGCTCGGATGCCACCATCGCCTTCTCAGCGACATGTCCAGCCACGATCGCCTGCTCGGCGGCTTGTTCAGCTGCATGCGCTGCTATCTCAGCGCTCTCGGCGGCCTTCCCGGCCTCATCAGCAGCGGCACAAGCTGCTTGGATCACACGCTCACTTGGCAAATCCAGCGGTCGACTTGAGCTGGACCCACCACTTTTCTTCTGCCCCATAGTTCTGGCCATAGAGCTCCTCAATCTCAAACCCCCTTTCTCCACTCTTGTTTTGAGCTTCCAAGGTGGTTTCTTCTTCACTGCTGGGGCTATTGTCAGCCTCGTCTTCTGTCGGTGAAGCTTCACCAACCCCTTTCTTCCTTGTAGTAGAGCTCCTCGATCTTGGTCGCCTTGAGGGCAATGGTGTGGTTATGACCCCTTCCTCAAACTCCAGCTCATCCCCTGAAACATGCAGCTTGCTGGACAGCAATTGCAATCGACGGAGGCAACAATGCACCGAAGTGCAAATCGTCCTCGCAACCCAGATTGCCCCTATCACTATCAGCACTAGGCCGCACAGCCAGAGGTTGCCGAAGGTCTCGTCAGAGCCGGCACCACCATGCGCCTCCGCGGCTTGCACTAGCAAACCACCGGCCAACAAAGCCCGAAGAGCCACTTGGTGTTCTTGAGACTGTGGTTGGAGCGGCTGTCCCCCACCCATCATCCTCTTCACTTGAACTTCACTTCGCAAGCCCAAGTCCTGCTGGAATCCAGTGAAGCTTTGACCCACGAGCGGCTTGGTCATGCCGTCTGCCACGAGCTCCGTGCCCTTCAAGTGGATGAGCTTCCAAGGGCCACCCGGAAACAGGCTTTGTCCCTCCAGAGCTTCTCTGAGGATATTGGAACGGACCCTCAGATGCCTCGTCCGCCAAGAGGTGGCGGAGTTTCCGTGGGCTAATCCTATTGCGGCAGCATTGTCACCATAGATCACCCTCTCAAACGTGTTGCCCACGAGCTGCTCCCCCCACATGGCACACAACAAAGCCTCTGTGGCTCTTCCAGCATTCAAGGCCTCGCAACAGGAAACCAGCTCTGCTTCTGCGGTGCTGTGACATACGAAAGGTTGGGTCGAACTCTGCCAAGCCACCGGTGCACCAGCAAAGCATAGTACCAGGCCTTGCATGCTCTTGTGACCGTTGCCTGTGCCATAAGCTATATCAGCAAACACTTCAAGCAGCTTTTCGTGGCGCTGAACTTTGAGTTGGCTTCTGGCTCCCCATGGATTGTGCATGTAGCTTGGGTAGTGAAGATCTCCAGGTTTGTGCTTCACGTAAGCCAGGAGTTCATTGCCAATTTCAATCGCTTTGCCAGGGTTTCTGGTGACAAGCCTGCTCAAAGCTGCGACGCCGTAGGCCAAATCTGGTCTTGACCTTGTTGACAACCAGAGAAGTGATCCGGCCAAGGCTTGTGCTTCCTTGATCTGGTTGCGATCGATGTCAGGCTGCTGTTCTCCATCGGCCTCACTGACCTTGAAGTTTGGGAAGGCAGCTGCACGAGTGACTTGCCATCTGGCGAGGATTTCTTGCTCATACTTATTCTGAGCGATGTGGTACCCATCTCCATCAACATCAGGGGCAATCTCAAAGCCACAAAAGTGAACTGGATTTGTGCTGGAAGCCCATTCGATGCTGGATGTGGCCCACGTAGCTCGCAGAGCATCCAAAGCAGCTGAAATGCTCCCTTCCTCACCTGTCAGCAGGATGTCATCGACGTACACGGACATCAAACCGGACCAAATTCGTTCACCAGAGATCGAATCCACCTCCTCCAACCGCCAGAGATTTTCATCAGCGGTCTTGCAGAAACTCCCCCGGACTTCACGATCCCCTTTTTGCCTGGTCCATGACATCTGAGGCAGCTTCGTGTCTCTATACTGTGACCAGTCACGGGGTGATGTCGTCAGGCCGTACATGGCCAATTTGACCAACCAAACCTCCCCTTCTCTTGCAAGTCCCAATCGCCGGTAGACGGATGGAATCTCCATTGCCACCAGCTTTCCGTCTTCCCGACGCGGAGCGTTCAAAAAGGCGACACGAATGTCGGTTGCCGCCATGGCCCAGCCTTTCAAAGATGCCGTTCTCACTAGGGCTCGTACTTGGCAACCGTCAGCACCACCCGCGTAGCTGTCAGCATCAAAGCGGGTTTCAGAATAGTTGCCGCAACATACGGCACGGGCTCGGCGAGCACCCGTACCAGCTTTTCTGGTGTACACCATCTTTGCAGGGAGCAATTCAATGGTCTTGTCTTCACGGGCAGCACGATCATGAAGATCTTCTTTTGTAATCTGCTCCACTGCCCTTTTTGTAGTAACCAGCTGGGTGTGCTCTGCCGTGATTGATGGAGTCCAGTTTTCGAAATCATCCAGGACTTCCCGAGCGGCCACTGTCTTGGTGACCAAGAATTCTTCCTCCATCTCTTTCTGCTCTTGCAGATGGTTGTTGTGGTCACAATGCAAAAGCTCCTCTTCTAGCTCGACCTTGTTCATGACGGCATTTGTCAACACCTCCATGTATGACCCTTGGTCAGGGTTCGTGATGTCCAGATGGCCAATCTCTTCACCGATGTAAGTGGCCAAGTTCGCCTGGACGGAGCGGATGAACTGGACCCTCGTGAGAGGAATGTTCCCAGGTGCTTCATCATCTTTTGGGGCCACCAGGCTTGAGCCACCGCACTGGTTGTTAGGCGCCCCCTCCTTCTCCCCTCCTCCGGACGAGTCCTCCACCATAGAAACCGAGCTTGGAGTTTCAGCACCCTGGGAACCCCCTTCACACGAGGCCTCCCGCTCAGGGGTTTCGATGGTCCAGCTGTCACTGCTGATCTCGACCTGGAAGAGCTCCGGGTTGTTGGGACTGCAAGCATCAAACAACTCGCGATGGTTGCAAAGCCAGTTTTGGCACCAGGCATCCTCCCCTTCCATGTGTAACATGGATACTTGTGGAATTGCCGTCTTTTCAGTGAGCCGTCGACGAGGAACTCCATCTTGCCACGCTGGTCTTCTTGGAGGATCGGACAACACAGGAAGATGGACCAGGGCCTCCTCGGCTTCAGGTTGATTGGAATTGGGGACCACAACATCATCCGTGTAGAAGAACCTTTTTGTCTCCAGGGATTGCACATAGTAACTTGTGGTCGTCATGGATGACTGCAATGCGGGACCAAGCACCACCACCTCATCTCTGATTTCACGCCATGGCTGGTAACGGTCCTGCCATGATTTCTTCAGGGCGTAGGCCCGGGAGCCAAATCTCAGCAGAGGGCCTATTGGGAAGCCCAGACTTCGAAGTTGACCCCGAAGACGACGTTCTCCGATGTGGGTTGCAGCAAGCGGCCACATCTCAAGACCAAGGCCTGTAGTGGTGAGCACTGTGCGAACATGCTTCTTAACCACTCCCAGTTCGCCCTCAACACGGCCATTGGATTTGTAGCTATCACCGGATGTCAGCGTTGTTGTGATGCCCCGATCCAGAGTCCAACGACGCACCGGTGCTGAAATCAACTCTCTGGCCCTGTCGCAATGGAGCCTGTACAGAGGAAGTCCTAGGCCGCGTAACTTGGCATAGATCTTTGCCAGGGCGGGCAAGATGTGCTTCACCGCACGGCCTGGAAGCACCTCAACGAAGGTCAATTTCGCACCATGACATCCTGGGCCTCCTCGATGGTTTTTTGCCATGCCTCAAAGGCTTCATGCCCCCTTTTTTCAGCTCCACCATCTTTTTCTCCACCATCCTCCCCCGGGATCTCATGCGGTTCTTCACCCAGCATATCCTCTCCAGGATCATCACCGCCTGGTTCGGTAGGAGTGTACTCTTCAGCATCAATGGATGGAGGCTCCACTGCCGCTGACCCCGGTTGTGCGAGATCTCCACATTCAACCTCCGCCAAAGCGCGGCCAGATCCATCCACCGGAAAGGTGTAGACCGCCACCATCATGTACTTGCAATCCTGTCGATGTTGATCTTGGCCGATCACCATCTTGCCAGAAAGATCCACACTCAGGGTGTATGCTTCTGGGTGTGAAATCCTTTTGTGTGGCTTGCTGCGAGCAGCGGATCTGACGCAATGTTTGCAATCGCGTCTAGCTGGCATGTGGTCATTGAGATAGTGCTGGCGCCAGCCATCCAAAGCCACTTGGCCTAACGGACGAAGAGCAGCTTCCAAAGACGGCGTTGAGCCACGATGGAGATGGTCTTGCAAGGCCAACACTAAAGCAACTTTCAAGCCCGGGGCCCATGCGGCCCATTGTTTGGACTCAGCGCAACGCTCCTGCATGGTCATTTGGTTGCGAGCAGGAGCTGGATCTTCTGGTTGGACACCACTTGGCGGACCGCGAACTTCATTCAACACTTGAAGGTCTCGCATGACAAAGGCCAGCGAAGTGGGCTTTTTCTTGATGTGGCCCATTGGACCTTGATCAAAATTGATCAACTTGACTTGGTATGTCGTGGCGAAATCTTGCCACTCCTTGGTGCGCCATATGGACATGAATTGCTTTCGCCGTACCTCCTCTTCCGGGCGGTACTTGGCAGGGTCTTCAGGCTGCTCGATGGCCAAGGCTGTCTGAGGCTCCTGAGGGAGGCGAACATCTTCGCAAAGGACGTACAAGGCCAACATTCGGAAGAGCAGCACACTGTCTCCATTCACCAGCTCCGCATCCGAAGGAGACAAAGTCGGCAGGCCATACGGATGTTGTTCTGTCCGCAGGATGCCAGGACCGCCATCGTCTTGGTATCGGAGCGCCGACACCGTCCGACAAGGTGGCCCACCCACCAAGGCCTTCACTCGGCCTGAAGCCGCCAACGACAGCAGGAACCGGAAAACATGATCATCATGAAGATCTGCTGCAATGGGGGCTTGCAAATCAATGCACAAGACTTCAACACCATCCCGCTGCAAGGTCTTCTGCCAGTAGTCCGTGTCAGGACCCGAAAACAAATGCAGGACAATCTGCTTTGCCTTGTCCAGCCTACGGCGTTTCCGCCGATTCCATGGAAGAAGGTGTCCATCGAATCCCTGATGTAGTGACGTCAGGTCAGGGATGATCCTCATCAGGATCTCATCGGGCAGGGATGGAAACAGGGCCTTCAATTTCACCGTCAGGGCCAACTCCGTCGAGTCTTGAAGAGAGGCCAAATCGCTGCTCTGTGGACTTTCCAGCAGCGCTTTCACCAGCAACGCCTTCTTGATGACATGGGTCTGGCGCTGCTCCAACTGATCAATCATCTCTTGGCCCACCGCCCGAGTGACCATTGGACACCCATGCTGAACCGTCACTGTGAGTTCTTGGCCCCTTTCATCACGGAGACCACACAGACTTCCTTTCCATTCAAACTTGTACCCTAGCTCGGCGATGCCACCCAAAGGCACAATCCAAGACTTGCCCATCGCCTCGTCCTGAGGGTCCGAGAGCAGGACCTTTGATGAAGGCTTCAACCGAAGCTTGGATGTGATGCCATCAGCTAAAGTGACCTGAGTGGGTGCTGCCTCTTGCCATTCCTGCCAGGTCTTCGCTGGTCGTAGGGCATGTGTGGCACCGGAGTCCAAAAGTACCAGGTCACCTGCTTCATGCTCGAGCTGGCTGATCTTGATGACGCGCAGTTGTGGTACACGGAGGGACTTCAGCAATTTGGTCGCTTCCTGCAACAAGGCCTCACTTGTTGTTGAGGTTGCCCCAGTCTCACCCCCTTTTGATGCCCCTTCATTTGACTGCGAATCTTGTACTTGTCCTCCTCCATCAGAGCACACCTCCATCTCCTGCACCTTGATGGGAGCTTGGTTGGCTGCAGTGACGTTGGACGAAGATGATGATTTTGAAGCCCCTTTTCCTCCCCCTGAGCCCGAACCGGGCTCACCACTGTTCTTGCCCTCCTTGGAGTCTTTGGCGGGGGAAGGTTTTCCTTGTGACTTCAAACGGCATTCTGTTTTGCGGTGTTCTTTGCTGCCGCAAATCCAACATCGGGCATTTTTGTCCTCAACGCCCTCCCAGCTGTGTGACCATATGCAGTTCTTTCCAGCCTTGCAGCCAGCATCCGACCGAAAATACCGGCATGGTGTGGAGGTTGTAGCGACCCCTGCATTGCCACCCTTACCCTTCTCCCCTGTGCCAGCACCCGAAGTTTGTTGCTTCTGTGAGGCTTCCAACTGTTTAACTTTGATGGGCGACGGTGTAGTAGGTGGAGCATTGATCATCAACGACAATGTTTCAGCTTCAGCCAACAAACACTGACTAAACCTCCAGATGCTTTGGTGAATAGGCTGCTGATCAATGGCCAACTGCAAACGACTCTGAGCCAGTCGAAATGACGCTTGGGCGTCAAGCGAAGCCACCAAACTGCAAGCAGGCTCTAAGGCCTTCAACAACAATGTACCGTCCGGCAGCACCGCTTCAATCTCTTGAGCCCTGGCAAAATGACGACGCCAAGAGCGGAGAGATGCAGCCAAATCAGTGGCTCCTGTTGCCTTGTCCAGCGTTGTCAACTTGGCCAAAAGAATCGCCTTCTCTCCAGAGCCGCCCGGTTGGTAGCGGACCATGAGGCGAAACAAAAGGGCTGTGGAATTCAGCTCTCTAGCCGTGATCAAGGCCTGTTGCTGGTCAGCGGGGATGGCCCGCAACAGCAAGTTCACTCCTCGCTGTTCTGTTCGCTGGTAGCAGCTATCATACAACTCGTCGGGAAGGCGAGGTGCAATCTGAACTCTTTCCAGCGGAGACGAAGTCTTCCAGCGATCATAAAAACACTGAGCTTCACGCAGGGTCAAATTCCACCATCGAGCACTGACCGACGAAAGGTCCCGAAGCACGGGTCCATTGACTGCAAGCCAGTCACCGAGCTCCAAAGGCAATGCATCAGCTGCCAACTCAGCGAGCTCTGCCTTGCTGTTGCCACCGCCTTCGCCCCACGGCAAAGGCATTGGTGAAGTGCCACCATCACCCGGCCAACGACCATAGTGCGGCTCACCCCGCTCTCGAAGCTCCGGACTGGGTTTTCGATTCCCATAGTGACCATCCCCAACTGCACCAGGGGAAAAACGATCAAAAACACGATCCACCCCAGGCCGACGGTCGGAACCCCAACCATAAACCTGGCTCTCCGAGCCACGATGAAAGCCAGCTTCATGAGACGAAGTGGGAGGCACATCTTTCGAGCAAGCTGCTGACTGCGCCCAGCTGACCCCTTCTCGCATGCGCTCCAAATGTTCAGCCCGAGGTTCTGGAGGAGCGAAAGGCGCAAATGACTTGCCTTCACGCAAATGCAGCGGCACCCACTGAGAGTCCTGTCGCCGCTTCATTTCCAGCGACTCATAGTCCTGGAACATAACTCCAGCCGAGGCACTCTGAATTTCTGCCGAGACACTAGTTGGGAACGGCGGTACAGGTGGTGCAATCACTTCAGGCGGTGGAGGTCCACATGGAATTTGCGTTCCGTTGGGGGTGTACCGAACATGGTGTCCAGAAGGAGGCCTTCGTGTAGTAGGACTTCTCCCCCGTGGAGTGCTAAGCGAAACTTCCCCACCATGAACCCTATTGGAAACACCACCAGTCAAACGATCATCATGACCAGAGGGGCCCACACCACCATGGACATGTTCATGAGCACCGTCACCACGAAGCCCATCACCTGTTCCCGTTTCCCACGACGAGGGAGTGGACATAGTACCCATGGGTTGCTGCTGTTGGAGGCTTCTAAGGTGCTCTACTTCAGCTTGAAGATGACTATTTTGCTCCCTCAAAAATAGCACCATTTCTGCTTCAAAAGCTCGTTGAAGACTTTCAGGGTCTTTCCGAGCCACCTCACTAGTTCCAGTGAGCTTGATCGCAGGGGGCGATTCCTCAGGCGGCACCGGCCCCATGGAACGATCTGGCCGACGATCAACCTTCTGTCCCGGCTGACCCTCCTCCGGCATTCGACCTTCAGTTTGGCGAGCTCCCCCACCACCGCGACCTTCCGATCTGTGGCCATGGCTATGGCTTGGAGATGTGACGAAACCACGTCCCGACTGGCGCTCGGCTGCTGACCCGCGGCCTTTGCCTATTCGACCACCCGTGCCTTCAAGCGGCACTGCCTCCGGACCTTCCACCGGCCCTTCCAGATCTTCGTCGCCGTCGCAGGGAACCGCCGGCAACGTCTCCGGTCGTCGGCTGCGGAGTGCGACCTCGTTGCGAATCCTCTCAGACCACCAAGGATTTATGAGGTCGAACCCTGGCGGTGAGGATCGCGCCCTCTCCATGGCCCGAGAAAGGCGCCTAAAAAGAGCTTGGGCTCATAACCCTTGAAAGGATCACAAGCGGGCCTTTTTCCTTCACTTGAGAACAAAAGCCTTCAGGTGTTCGCACCTCTATTCACAGACCCGTAAACCATATTTAGCTAGCTTGTGTATGCTTGTGTGGTGCCAACGGCACTTCTTACATTGGACAACCCACAACTGAACATTGAAATTGAAATACAGTCTGCCAGTTGGAACTTTCTGCAGTGATGTCGTTGTGTGACGTGTCCAACCAAGGAAAAGAGAAAATGTCCAAAGCCATAGACCACGGAGAAAAGATGTGGGCTTGAGTCAGTGCGTTCCAAGTTGAGTACATGCAGGAGCACGTTCTGCCGGAGCTATCAAGAAATGGAGCTACCATCATAGGTCCTTGCCCTCACAACTGTCCATTTCCAAGAATGTTTGCATTAGTTGAGAAAGCATTCGCTTATCAGGAAAGCTTTGCTAACCTTTGCTGCGCTTTTCGTTTTTGCAGGTTGAGTCCATTCTCAAGCCTAGTTGATGTGCCATGCATGGGCTCTGTCAAGCTTTGGTTTTCTCTATCTCGCACTACATCAGTCGCTCCACCGATTGCGTGAGGGTTCAAGCTGGCCATGTGCAGTCTGAAGTCCTTGCAAAATGACAGGCTTGCAGTGTCTCACCCATCCATCGCAGCACAATGCTGACTGATGCTGACCGCCTGCAGTTTCAGCTGTGTTTCTGAAGTTCCAACTGAATTAATTAAGCAAGTTCACTACAAATATTACAATATATATACCCGACTTGAGGATCCAGAACCCTCGAAGTTGCAGCTCTGTGGGGAAGTGCTGCGTTCCAAGGCGTGATTGTTCTTGAGCAACAATTGGCGAGTGAAACAATGCGTTTGTTCAAGTGCCTGAAAATTGCTTGCAGAGGGCGTGCTAGTTGCAAGCACACTCAATGTCCGCTTGATTAGCACATGCACAACATCGCAAACATCCGCATACATCCGCAAGTATTTTTTTTGAGCTTCAAAAGTCCAGAACTCTGCGCGTTAAACGCTCAGATGGCTTGGGGCAATGCGTTGCTCGTGGTCTTGCTTTCTGCTTTACCACAGATTGCGGCTGGTAACGGCTGCACAGCAACGCAGATTCAGAATGACTTGCTCCCCAACCATGCCACACCATCCAGTTGCTGGACCGTCATTGTGGTGAACCGTCAGAAGGTCGTCTACGATGTGACAAAGCTGGTGTCCAACCATGAAGGAGGGCGGAGGGTCATTGAGCAAATGTGTGGACGCGACGGAAGCATCGGGTTTTGGCCTTGAGCTTAGTTATAGTTGTTGTCGACATTTGTGGAATGTTTTGGTAAATGAATGTAAATGACCATTGCATACCATTGCAAATGAGACCTGAATTGAGATTGGCTTTCCGGCAGTTGGACCTTGAAGTTGGACCCATTCAGACTCCAACGCGTGGTTTATGGATGTTCATGGTGCCTTATGAGGTTTGAATTGAAACATCAATGATTGGCAAGAGCGATTGGCTTCGTCGGCTGTGTAAATTCCTAGGTGTTGGCACACCTTGGAGGACTTGCAAGAGTCGATCGATGATGGAGATGCAACGGAAATTTGCCGAACTTCTGCAAGTGTTCGACGTCTTGATGCTCGTGAAGATGCAAGTGGTCGACGTCTTGATGATGACGAATGGGATGAAGAAGATGAAGATGACGATGAAGGTATTCGAAACTCTTGTGCAGCAGGTGGTTCACTTCCTCCAGCTCCAGCCACACAGATTCTCGCCAGTGAAGTAGCAAATCACAAGAGTTCAGGTGATTGCTGGACAAGCATGACTCAAGGGACAACAAATGTTGTTATGGATATCACCAACTACATGACGCTACATCCGGGTGGAAAAGCCTACATTCTGTCGATGTGTGGACGGGATTCCACTGCCGCATTCCAAGTGTACCATCCCTGGACCTATGTTACAGAAGCCGTGAGACATGGCTACGTTTCAATGAAGGGTCAACTTTCGGGAACATATCCTGTGATCACCACAACCACAGTAACACTTGCACCTGGGGTAACAACGACAACTGGTCCTACCTCTTCTCCGCAGACAAAAATCACCGCAACAGTCCTCGGGCAGCATGCGAGCACTTCAAGTTGTTGGGGCCGCATTGGCTCCTGGGTGGTGGACATGACGCAGCTGCTATCAACGCACCCTGCCGGCAACTCTATGCTGACTTGCGGGCAGGATGTCACGGCATCCTTCCGCAGCATTCATGCAGACTCGTACATCTCCCGCATGCCTGTCATGGGCACTTGGGATGACACAGTGATTAGAAGGCCAACCCCAACACCATCGCCATCACCTGCAACAACGACCGCTCCAACCCCAGCGGCCCCAGCTCCGAGTCCACCACAGATTGTTGGTGGCCAAACATCCATTTTGAACCCTCAGGCATGCTTCACCTTGCAGACATTCAAACAATTTCAAACATATCATAGGATATCCCTAATGAAACAAGACCGAGACAAACCGTGTACAGTTGCTCTTGATATGACCCAAGGCTTTGCAGAAACATGCAAAAAACTAGAAATATTGACAGATAATGTATGCTCCATTCTGAGAGGTGCCGAGCGAGTCCAACGAGATGATTTCAAGCACAGATGTCGCTGGACATAACACGAAAGCAGATTGCTGGCTAGCTCTACGCTGCAAGGTATATGACATGACTGCATACGTTCCTTTGCACACTGCCGACAAATATGCTTCGGCAGGAAACGGTGCTATTGAGAGACTTTGCGGGTCCGATGCAACAGCTGCATTTGAAGCAGTGCATCCAATATCCTATATCGATGTGTCTGTGAGCCTGGGGGCAATCTACCAGGGTTTGCTGGCAGGCTGTGGCGCTCCTCCGGCCACTGCCTCAACTACCCAGCCTCCCACCACAACCGCAGCAGCGACGACTGCGCCACCAAGTCCAGCACCTTCTCCAGAAATGGTCCCAGTGAATGCTACTCTATGGTATGAATTGCGCTTCCCCAACTTGGTCGCTGCTACACAAAACTTGGGCAGCGTTCAAACAGAGACGTCTTTGTCGGTGGCTGTCGCAAATACAATGGCTCAACAAGGGCTAAGCAACGTGAGATGCATCGTTTCCAACCTTAGATCTGGAAGTATTTTGGCAACAGTTGGCCTCTTCATGAAAGATGTTGGCCAGCTTGAACATGTCCAGTTCTTTGGAAGGAATCATATGACAAAAGTGAGTTGGCTGGGTGACTCTCCTACAGTGCAAGGAACCCCAACGCTTGACGTCGCCTATGCCACCTCCCCCACTCCCACCCAAGCCTCCACTGCCACAACTTCCTCATTGCCAGTCTATACGATCGACCAGGTACGAGATCATAACAGCAATGTGGATTGCTGGATGGCTATACATGGGAAGGTCTATTCTTTTATGGGTGCAGGAGGAGCACACCCTGCGGGGAATTTCCTGTCTTTGGGAATTTGCGGAGTTGAGGCATCTGCAACATTTGATTTGCATCATCCGTTGTCCTACCTAAGTGTCTCAGCTCTGAAGAAGATTGGTGGCGCACAAGTTGGGACTCTTTCCTCTGCTTCCGCAGAGGATGCTGGGCGCACATATCCCCGTCCCTCGCCTGTGCAAGTCCTACCAAACATTGTGGTCACATTGAACGGTGGCTCCACCGACTTTCTGCAAAAACACAACCTTGGACAAGATTGTTGGATGGCACTGCATGGTGACGTTTCGCGGCTTCGGTCAGTTTGCTTGCATAGAGAAGTAGATGCCCTTCTCAACTTCAGAGATTTCCAGAGATTGTACGCTGATCATTCACGTGACACACTGACATACAATGACTCACGACTCAGAGAATCATATGACTTCGTACTGTAAGTTCCTTCTAGGAAGATGGCTTTCATGTCCAAAAGCAACTAGATCTGTGCCTGCGGAACATAACATTGTGAGCGAAACCACCAAGAAATTAGAATGGTTTTGTGTTTTATAACTTTTCGAGCCCGCCAAAACAGTAAGGTTTATGATGCAACCAGCATGCTGTCACAGCATGATGGAGGCCGTGCCAATGTTGAGGCTTTGTGTGGCTTGGACGCCACAGCTTCCTTTGATTGTGTTCATGGCATGGGAGAAATCCAAGAAGCAGTGAACGACTATGGAATCAGCAAAGTTGGCACTACCACCACAGTGCTTGGGCAAGGTTGCACTTTCCAACTTCAAGCAGGAATGTTACCAGATCAGCAGATAACCTGGGAGGAATTGGCCAAGCATTCAACCACTCAAGACTGCTGGGTCATCCTGGGATCCCAGGGGATCGTATGGGATATCACTGCTTACTTGCCGAAGCACACAGGGGGGTCGGCAAGTGTTGGAATGCATTGTGGTGGTGACGCAACAAGCCCTTTCGACAAGAAGCACAAAGCGGGCTACATCACAACCATGGCTCAAAAGGGTGGCATCCCTCAAGGTACAATCAGTGGCCCACAACCAGCATTGGACTCAGGTACTGTGCATCTCACACCTTTGCAAATGAGCGAGGTCGCAAAGCACAGCATAGCAGCCGATTGCTGGGTGGCAGTTCACGGCTATGTCTTGGACGTCACAGGGTACTTTTCCGGCACCTAAAGCAAGTCTTAAAGCCTCCCCAAATCTGCCAATGCTGTAGCTCACAAGATAAGCAAACAGAACAGGTGCTGACGGTGTAATGAAAGTGGCAGGCTCTCAGCTACATTGGGGATTGCAACTGAGTCCTGCAAACTATTGCAAAATGCACTGGAATGGCAACCTTATGTTGTATTGACATGGTGGTTACACAGGGGGGTTGCACCACTGGGGATTTCAAAATGCGTTGTACTTGTTGGATCGTTAGATAGGAACAAAGTCCTATTCCGCAACTCGTCATTTGTCTGAAACGTTTCTTCCGCAACTATTTGTTCAGAAATGATTCTTCAGCACTGTAACTATTTTGCGATCTTGAGATTTTTTGCATGCTTCAGAAAGTATTCTTCGGAACTTCCACATTGCATCCAAATTGCATGAATGGAGCTTGGAGAGGTGGGCTTATTGACATACCCTGTGATGGCAGCGGTACATGCCTAGCTTCGGACGAAAACCGTCTAGTTTCCCTAAGAAAACCGTAAAGTTTCCGAAGATATCCGAAGATCACCTTTTAGTTGCCGAAGATTAGTTTCCGAAGAAAGCCGTAAAGTTTCCGAAGATCGCGATCGCCTTTTTGATCCAAAGAAAACTTTGACCGTTAGATAGGGTGATGTTCGATGGCAGATGACAAGCAGCCAAAACGTAAGAAAAGTCTGCAACCTTTTCGGAGAGTGTTTCACAATTTGACTCCCTCGACCCGGACGTGGATATGACTGCAGGGAATCAGTTATATAGTTGCATTATCGATTCTCGCTACAATATTGTCAGTTGTGGTTGTCACACTCTCGGGCGTTTTGAAGCCCCTGATGTCGCCCCCCCATGTAGGTGGGAGATTGGGAGCCGACAGAAATGAAGCACCGCAGTGAAAACCACCATGTGGCTCCACCTTTTTGCAAAGACCCACAGAACTGGAAACGTTGGTAGATGTTGGTAGTAGGGTACTTATTGTATGAACATTCATCGCAAAGCCTCTATCAAAAAGAACTGCTGGAACACATCGTGTCATGCATGGAGCCCTCATTCTTTCAACGCAAAAGCCATTTCGGGCGTGTGCCAGAGTAAGAGTGATATGCAAACACTTACATACATCCTGTACATGACATACCTTTCGCTGAGCCCCTTTTAGGCTTCGGAAAAGCGCGCTACCGCCTTCCATAATAATGGAGCAGGGTTGCTCCTGCTCCGGGCCCCCCGTAAACCAGCGGGTGGGCGCCTGTAAGTCCACAAAGAGGCGTGGGTTGGCCTAAAGCCCTATCATTGTATTGTGGGGTGGCACCCATGGCCTCGGAACCTCGCCCTAAGTGATGGGTTGGCGATGGCAGCTGTTGGTGGACCTCAAGCTCAGGCGCAGCAGCAGCAGCAGCAGCAGCAAGCTCAACAGGCGCAGCCACCTCTTCCAGCCCAACAAGTTGGAGCCACAGGACCTGATCGATACTCGGGCAATCGGCAAGCTGAGGAGTTTCTCTGGCAAGGAGGAAAGCTGGGCAGCTTGGTTCTTTGTGGCTCGTGGCTACTTGAACCTGCTGGTCACCAGCTACCAAAGCCTTGATCCAGGCAGCGGAGAATGCCAACAGCTATATTGACCAAATATAGAATGGCTGACATGGGACAACACGCACAACAGAAGCCCATCCTGTTCAACCTCCTCACGCCTCACGCAGAGCGTTGATGGACGAGCCCTACAGGTGCTGATGAACGTGGAGAATGGGAATGGCTTTGAGGGTTGCAAGGCTGTGCGCGAGGCTTACGAGCCTGACGTGGGTGGCAGGCACACTGCCATGTTGATGAGCATCATCGCTCCTTCAGACCTTTGTGGGAAAATGTGAAGGCTGGCAACTTCCTGGAAACGTTAGAGAGTTGGGAGGTCCTGACAAGACGCTATGAGATCCAGGCCAAGGAGCATGTCTCTGACTCCAGAGACTTTGATCAAACCACATGAATTTCTCGGCCATCTTAATCATGTAATTAGATCTCTGTCTCAAATCCAGCGATGAATCTTATCATCATCCGTTCCAATGCAATTTTCAATTGGCGCGCCGCAAAAGCGTTTGCGTTCGCAGCAAGGCTTCTTGGAAGCATCGAAAAGAATTGGCAAAGGCATCAACAAAGGTGGCAAGTTCGTTAAGAAGGGAAAAGCACCAGCGCTGAAGAAATTCAATGGAGAGTTCTATTGCTGTTGCAAATGGGAAGAAGGCTGACTGCCGTCTTCTGGCCATGGAGAAGGCGAAGCGTGAGAGTGGTGGCAAAGGCAAGGGCAATACCACCAATGCCATCACATAGACATCAAGCACTATGGCAGAAGGATCCAGTTCACCCAGTGGTTGCCAGCAAGCCGATGCTGTGTACTATTCGCTGCCTGACGATGGAGAGCGTGTGGACTGTGCTGAAGCAATAGACAATTTCGAGATCGAGGATTCCAATCGAGGACGATTACGGGACGAAAGGTGGGTGATGGTTCGATGATGGTTCACCGAAGCAAGAAGCCGGCACCTTCTACTGGCTCAAAGAGGTCAAGTACTTGCTGTGGGACTCAGGCAGTGATGAGCGTCTATGTCGATGGAGCTTTGGAGGAGATCTTCACACGGAGCCAAGTTGATGGGCATCTCAGAAGCGTGCCTGGGTAAGCTGGGCAGGAAGAAGTCAACAACAACCTGATCACCGTGACAGAGTTCAAAGTGAGTGACCAAGCCAGCAAGGATGCGCTCAGCGTCGGCAAGATGAGCCGGTCTGGGTTTGCAGCGGACATGAGGAACCCCGTGAAGCCTCATCCATCCCAGGCTCAACTTCCGGATTCCCCTACCTGCATCGCAACTCCTACTACAACAAGGTGCGCGACGCTGAATCAATCCCCATGAACTCCGAGGTTGCGGCGGGCTTGATTGTGGCGCCTGTAGCTGGACAAGCAGAAGGATATGATCGGGAGCACGCAGGCAAAAATCTGGAGACACCCTGTGTGGTCAAGACGGTGATTTCCTTCATTGCGCAGCTTGGCTACCTGGAGGTAAAGGTCGGGAGCGACAATGAGCCCGTGATCAAGAAGATCGTGGCCAAGATCGCTGGAACCTTGAGAGAAGGGAAAGGGTGAGGAGGTGAAGGGCTGAGGATTCAGTTTGAAGCAGTTGCTGCGCGGTGATGTCCTTACACTCAGGTACCAGATTGAAGCCAGCTACGGCGTCACTTTGCATACCTCACACAACCTATTGGCCATGGCTGGCGGGGCGGTGCCCCTTCATCAGGAGCCGGTTCAATGCGAAGGGCAATCAGAGGAGAGCGTATGAGGATGTATTGCCTTCTGGGTGGGACCGTCCTCTTCAAGACCCCCACGAGTAAGGCCAGGAGATCCCGCAACAGCATCAGGCCATCTTCCTTGGGAGAGTATTTGCTGGGAACTGAGGAAGGGACAGTGTCGGCCAGAAGTGCGCGCATTGCTGAGGCGCTACAACAAGGAGCTGATGGAGAAGATGATTGGAGTGCCATGGGACCAGGGCACAACCACGCACAACCATTGGCAGGGCGAAGAGGAAGGCAAAGATCGCATTGTCTCCGACGCGCAATTTTAACCCCAACTGAGGAGAAGGCCAACAAGAGCCCCACGCTTGTGGGGACATCCAAGAGGAGGATGAGGGCGCCTTTCCTGTGAAGTCAGGACCTTCATTCGGCATCAAGAGACCTTGCAATGTCAGCAAGACGGGCATGGGCTGGGCAGTAGGTGAGATGACACCGGAAGCCAAGCGCTCGTGTGGCCCGTGGCAGTATCTTTGTGGTTCCGGCGCTGCGTGTGTGTCAAATGAGCGCCAGCATCCACACGAAGCACAATGACTGGCATTGACTGGCAATACCCTTTTCTTCCGGCTTGCCGGATGGCTGTGAGCAAGAAACAGAGGGAAAGAGTTTTCATGTACTGTAAATAGGTGCTGTTTATTTCACTCCAGGTAGGCAGGACAGACTGACCCTTGAGATCTTTTTGGACGGGTTTGGCTTGACTTGGTTGGCGTGACTTTGTTGGCTTGGCTCGTCTTCGGCTTTCCTTTGGGTTGATTTTGCCTGGGCTAGGTTTGGTTGGGTTTTGGCTTAAAGGCTTTGGCTTCCTTGGCTTCGGCTGGTGCACAGTAGAGCTTCGAAACATACAACACTTGCGAAAAAAAAATCCAACGCCAAAAAGTGTCCTGGAGGAAACTCGAGTTGTCAGGGCTCAGGGAAGCTTGAGTCGGGGTCGAAAACAAAGCTTTCGGAGTATATTTTCCAAAAAACATCAACTTTCGAGAAAACGATGGTTTATCATCCAAGTTGCCAGGCCAACCAGGCCAAAGCCAAGCCAAGCAAACTATTTTAGGCATCGTGGAGCGGTGGACACTGTTTGTGGATTACTTTGATTCAGGTATACAGGTATACAAGTCGGAGATTCTGGGGCTGTATAACAGACTGAGGGACTAGCTACTATATTTTGTTTTCAGAAGGGTACAGACTAGTAAAGTTTGTTTTTTGGAAACAAGGTGACAAGGTTTGAAGAAACAAGCGTCCAACAGTGGAGTTTTCCAGACTAATGTAGAGAAAAACTGCGACTTTGGAACGCGCACCGCAACACCGACACGTACGCACTTCCCATCATTTCTCCACGTCACATGACCAACACGACGTCTCACTGCATTACAAAATTGCCACGCAAGCATCGCCGATCAACCAAAATATATTCCGCATATCATGGTGGCACCGAACATGATATCATCCCTGGCATGACATGATGTCGTTGCTGGCGTGACATGGTGTCATTCATGACGCGATCTCATCCCTGGCATGACATGATGTCATCCCTGCCATGACATGATGTCATCCCTGCCATGACATGATGCCATTCTTGGCATGACATGGTGTCATCCCTGGCGTGGCACGATGTCGCTCTGGGCATGACTTGGTGTCATTCTGTGCATGACATGATGTCGTCCCTGGCATGACGTGATGTCATCCCT